GTTCCTGCACAAGCTTCAACGGAACTCCCAACTCTCCAGCATAGACGAGAGTAAGGAACATCTGCTGAACAACTTGGCAACCACAGCAATCGGTGCCAGGGAATGGAAATCAAAAGAGCTACGGGGTGGATATAGCAGGTATATCGGGCACGGTGAATGAAACAAAGACAGGTTGATTATGTAGATAGGTCAGATGGAATGAAAAGAGGGGAAAGAAGGCGAAATCGTATAATAAGATTATATACAGTGATAATGAATATTCTATTTCCTGTATTTGGGGGCTTTAAATATGGCATTGTTTCCAAGAAGATGTATTATAAACAGAATGGCGAGGTATCGAAGAAGAAGTTGAGAGCTCATTTTATGTTTCACTTTCAAATATCTAATTTGCAAATAAAGGATTGAGTTCACAGATAACCTCTGAACTTCAGAAGGAGAATAATGTCATGGTCTCGTCTAATATCTTTCTATATTTTCATTTTCGGTAGTATTCTTCTTGAATAATAACAAATATTCAAACTACTCGACATATGATCAGATAAAATTGATGCTTAAAGGCACAGACAAGTCTATAGGCATCTTGTGAAGGTTATTATTGAAGAATTGATCGAATTTTCTATTTGCTATAAACAGGCACCTGCACCAGAATGATCCATAAAATGGTGTATGAAGATTTCTCCATTCATGCGAAAAGAAACTTTTATATACTCAGGTCAGGGGAAGTAACTATGATTGTGCATCAAGTACAGAAAAATGTAATCAATCTTAGTGTATATAAAGCTCTGCGATACCTCATCGAAAACGAGCAGAAAATCGACAGAGACCCAGGACAAGGTTGTTAAATGGAACATCAACGTCCTGGTGAAGCTCGAGCTACTATGGGAAGAAGCACCAAAACTCTGAAATTTATAATCTCGTTTCCTCAACTAGAATTACGTCCTGTCACTACTAACTTCTCTCTTGTCATTTCTTTTGCCCGATTGACCTACTTGGGACGTCCGATAGTTCAGACCACAGTGCATTCACGGGGGAAATTTCATTTTTGGATTCATACCGATTGTCAGATTCATTGAAATCATCTAATTACTTTAAGTTAGAGTTGAAAGAATCTCATCTATTAAATCTTGCACCAGGTCACCTGGCTAGGCGATGGGATACGATACTCTGAATCCACTCACACTATCAAACAAACTGCATCAAGCTCGATGATATTGATTACTTGGGCTGGTATATCCATGCCCCTGATCAACAAAGTCCTTCCTTCTTCGTGTAGATATCCTTTCCCAAATCGCCAATTTCATCAAACGGAACTTCTAGTATGTGAGAGAATGAATGAAGTAGCTTATTCTAATTGGACTTGGCTATTGCAGAAACCGATGAGAATGCACTGGAGCTCAATCTCCCAGTATAGCTCACAAAAACAATAAGTTCATCAAAGACGGGTACGATTATGCTTGCAAGAATTTGAGTAAAGCGACATTTTATCATGTCGAGATGATGGCCAATTCAGGCTCATTTCTTCTTTTCTCGATTTGAAATCGAATGCTCAAGGAAAATAAAGCAAATAGCTTGAATACTATCTTTCGATTAGATAAAGTTTCTTATATGTCACAAATGAAAGTTTACTTGATATTAAAATTAGTGTAGTGATTTTCCTAGCAACCGGCTCCCTAAGTAGGTGGCGGGAAACTTCTCTTCCTGTAAATCTAACTAGAGCAAGTTAATCATATGTCAGAGTATTCTGAGAGTTTGATACACTTTGGTATACTCTTGGAGGGGAATGTGTTATCATTCCATAAATTAAGCCTAAAACCACTTTCTCCCGAATCCATATCACTGTCATTAACCTACCTTCCAAGTAAATTACAGATGTAGAGGAAGCAGATATCCAGTGAGCACTAGACAGAAGACACATCCAAGATCTTGCAGAAACCCAGAATGGCAGTGGTTTCTCACACATCTATCCCCAAGCTCAACTATTGAATGCAATTTTCGCTGATGTACCAACGAGATGAAGCTTGAACAATCGGGGTTTTGATATCTATATAAATATATTCCTACCAAGATCACAAATATCTTACGACCGTCATCGGGGAACTGTCAAGGTACTCGAGATTCCTTATTGGCTACATTTAATTCAGATCTCAGGAATGATTCACATGATTAACTCATGATGATTCAATCGGATTGAGGATTTCATTGTATGACCAGACTTCCCACTTTCAAGATTCACCATCATGATTCACGAACACTCAACTCTTTCCGCTCTGGTGGGATAGAAGAGAGAATTTAGCTACTATATAAAACGCAAAGATCTCTAAAATCTAAGCCAGACGAATTGAGAAGCTCTGGGAAAGGCTATTCCATGCTTGTCAATTTGTGCCCTGAGTGCTTCGAGACAGGAAGTGGTTATGATTCGAATCTCATGTTTCTGCCTCGAACTATCGCTTTACTCTACTAAATTTGTTGTCGTGTTGCCACTCAGTTACTTGTCACTGTCTACAATTTTCTAGTATCAACTATACCCTGAATGTGAAGACTCGCCTCTGATTTTCCGACTAAGAGCACAAGTAGCATCATTCCATTCCATATTAACAGATCTGGCAGCAAAGTCTCTCCCATCACGAGAATTGGCTTCGAGATCACTATCTTGATCTCAGTCCAATCCACGCAAAAATCCACTCTTATAAAGACAGGTGATAAGGATGAGAGCTCTTCACCTAGTGTGCCCTAGCTTGAAAGAGTTTAGCTTCCTCTTCCTCTCGCTGACGAGGGGTACGTAAGTATAATAACATAGGTGAATAAGAGGCTGAGAGCTTACCTAGTATATTTGAGTTGATAGGAACGAGTGTGATGGAAGACGATTGAATGGGGAGCCAGTGATACTCTCCACTTCAAACTTTGACGTCTGTAGGATATGGGTATAAATAGTTTGCAAATATCAAGCCAGAAGAGCAAGAATCTAGGAACCGGCTTGAAGAAATGCGAAAAAGCCAGCTAACAACAAAGCGTAATATATAACTCTCAGTAGAAAAAATAGCTAAATATGCTATCCAGAGAAGGACTTTGAGAGACAGTATTCGAGACTGATCTTACTCCATCTTACTATTGACATCTCTTCACTCTTTACTGTCAATCTAATCAACCATATTGTTATCCACTACACTCAGCTACCTTCAAATCACATCACTCACTCACAAGCTCCACACACCCTCCCCCGAAACCCCCAAGTTCACAGATACAAATGCCGCAAAAAATCCCCCATTCCGAGACTCTGCTCTTCACTTTAGGATATCCAAGATCAATGAAGTTTTCGGTCATGTAGAATCTATATAGCAAACCCCTGGCTCAAATCCCAAATGAGCCCCTATCACCTTCCCCATTTCAAGAGCGAATCACACAAACTCCCAGTAAACCTGCTCGCAAAACAAGCGAACTCAAGAGAATACCGAGTCAAAATTCGATCCTCCCCTTCCAGTATAAATATCTCTCCTGTGTACAAGATCAAGCTCTCATCCATCTATACAGCCATTTCAAGTCCACCAAGCACAGCCGCAAAGACTTCCCGAGCGCGTGATAAAAATACTGTTTCCAAATCCACGAGCTTGAAGTGATTACTACTATTTCCCGACAACTTCCTGTATTTGCCATTCTATCTATCTAGCTATCAATTTTTCAATCACTATCATACTACTCCCATATTACTGCCAAAAATCTCAAAACGCTATCATTCATAATCGCCAAACCAAATTCTCACTCCTACCGAAATTCCCTGTGATACTGCACTCAAAATTCGCATCAAATTCGCACACGTACGTATACACTTTTACTTACCGACCCGCACACCACACATGGTCTGCACTCCTAAGAGATCTCAATCTTTTGATGGGTTGTTACTCTATGGAAAGGACTTCTTATATATAAACAAAACATCAAAATTCCAGAAGATGAATGGAAAAAGGAAACAGATAGAGGGGAGAAATACATCACCCTGGTCCAGTAGCCACTCAAGAATAGATTGCAGCGAATCACACCACTCCCTCTCTTCACCTCCCCTCCCTCAACAAGTTACAACTCCCCCCCTCATCCCCTTCCCCTCCCCTCTAAAAGTCCATATTCCATACCCCATACCCATACCCATACCCCATACCCACCTCCCAAACAGCACAAGATAGACTTATATAACCACATAAGAAAAAGGAATAAGAATAAAAGAATAAGAGATTTACAAACAGACCACTCGACGAGTTGAATTTCGGGGAAGATAGGTAGTGAATGATGAACATACAATGTCGAATCTGTGAATCATTAGTTGCACCTAAAGTCCAAGTTGGTATATTACTTTCACCTCCATAGGTACTCACCACCAAGATATAGAATTCACTCGAGTTTGATAATGACTAGAGAACATCCTCACAAATCCATCTACTGACCTTCAAAAACTCCCCCAGACAATCTTGACTCGCATCTTCACATATCAACAACTCACAAAAGATCATATAATTACCACTTTTATTCATATTTCGCTAACCACAATCCAAACCAACCGTTTCCATCCCAAGACAGCTCTTCCCCAATTCATCTCTTTATTCCTATATCCACATTCAATTATCCTACCCATAATCCTCCTCATCACTATGTACCAAGGAATTTCCTTCGCCGTACTCTTTGTTTCGCAAATTCTTCCTCCGCATCCTAAAGCCTGAGCCCAAGCTCTATCCACAACCATGTACTTCCTAAAGTACATGAAAGGTATGAGAAATGAAAAAGGTAAAAGAAGATGAAAATGGATTCGCTAGCAGAACAGATAGATATAGAGATGAGTATAAACCCCTAGGAAATGCAAATGAAACCTCCGAGAACTCCCATAGTTTAGAATATGAAATCAAGGATATGCCAGAAACGAATCAAGAGTATTGTCCCGGCCGTCGAGGTTAAGAGTGTGTTAAAATGCGTAGTTGAGTAGGAAATGACTCTCGCTCGTGTTTCATCGATAGAATTTATTCCCTCATCTTGACATAATTCGAGGGGAAGATGCCTGATCGTCCGTTGAGGGTACCAGTCCTATTTAAACATCAAATTAGCCTTAACTATCCATTTCTTCACCTAAGATCTCAGGAAACTATTTCCAGAGCAAAAGAGAAACGAAAACATACCACCAATCCTCAGTACTCTCAGTCTTCTTTGTTACCGTAATAACATCTCCCTTCTTGAATCCCAAATCTCCTGGCTGATCTGCATCAAATGTAAATTGCGCAACCGCCTCATTGCTTCTCAAACTAGCTGTCTTTGGTTGAAATTTTGGTTTCGGCGCGGCAGGTCTACCTGGTCCTGGTTTTCCACTACCGCCAAATTGACTTGGAGCTGCACGGGGACTATCAGAATACACATAATCATCATCAAATCCGCTACCAGATCTAGCCCTGCTTCCGTTGGTTGGTCTGTCGTAAATATCATCGGCCCATGTACTTGCTCTTTGAGGACGATTTGGATTGACGTAATCGTCACTATGTCCTAAGCTTGCGCCTCGATCTCTCTGTGTACCTTCTCCAAATGCACTTCCTCTCCTGCCTTCCCAAACTACATCATCGTGTCGTTCGTCATAAACAGGGCTATCGTTATAAATTCCATCATCGGGATTCTGGCCCGCGAAAGCTCTCGAGTTCAACACATTCATAAGAGGTTGCGCTGCTGGTGGTGCTCGGACTGCGCCTCCAAGTAATTCAGCGGCTGTAAATCTTCTTCCATACAATTTCTCATTCGCATCTCTTCGCTCGATAATTGCACTTCCCTCGAGACTGACACCAGCAAAGAGTCCCTTGGTCTTGGAATAACTGAAAACACCAGCTACACCCTTCATACTGGCAGCTCCGGCTGCCTCGGCATTTCGTCCTATTGGTCCAGCGGCAATACTGACATTTCCACCCAATGTAAGAGAACCAGCTTGAGAGAAGGTGCGCACGGCTGCAGCATCATTGAGAATGAAAACGAAATCTGTAAGCTCGAAACCGATTTGTCCACCCACTCCGCCGCCACCGATACCAATTGCCGAGGGTGCGGACCAAGAACCATCGGAAAGACGAGCTATAACGACACCATTACCGTAACGACCGGAACCGATAAAACCAGCTTTAAGAACTGTAACGATTGCGAGGCCCTAGTTTTGAGGGAAAGTGTTAGTGACAGTTCGGGAAGTTGGTGGCTGGGAAGGAATATATTGGAGGGAGGATAAACCTTTGCTTGCGCGAGAACATGTGGTGGAATAATCTTATCTGGTCCGAAAGCTTGTCGTGGATCAATAAATGAGGACAAAATCTTTCCACACTTTTTGCATTCCGCTGGTAAAAGAATAGATGTCAGCTTGGATATTCTACCTGTAATTGAATGATCTTATATCAGCCGATTGACAAAATGCAATAACTTACACGCCATAGACGAAGGAAGCGGATTATTGATTCCTAAAGGCATATTGAAGAATTATACCTATGTAAGGTAGATCTTTGAACGATAGTAGTAATGAATTTGCGCAAAGCTATTCTGTCGGTTCGTCTGGCTAGATATGTATGTAGGTATGTAGGTATTAGGGATGTAGGTATGTAGGTATGTTATGTATCTCCTTGCGTTCGCGAACTAGGAATTAAGCGTAGGATGTTCGGTGACAAAGTGTGGGGTGTTTTACTATCGCCTTATCCTGTAAGTATGAAATCACTTCAAACTCCAGAATGTTTTGATTAGGAATATATGAAGATATCTATTCCTATATCTGATCTTGCGAATTCTCAGAAATCAAATACACAAGTTCCGAAGAATCCGATCAAGGTTCTATACTTCAATCTTTGTATGCAGGCGAAAATAATCAGATTCGAGCCGTTGACGTCGTGGAATAATTCTAAGCTTGTGCGCAATGAATTGAACTAACGGTTCGTTCTTGATAAATGATCACCTGTCGGACGGAATGAGAGCCGAGCTTGTGGCTGTGTCGAATCAGCCTCAGCCTTGGACCTTTTGGGGTTAGGTAATCACAAATGAACATGGTTGCGACAAGATTATCTAGGATCCATGGATAGGTACCTACTCTCAGTACGTTTCACGAATTGCATGAATGAATTCAAGTAAATTTCACTTCCCAAACTAGATACTTGTCACACGAGGATTAATCGCACTACACAATTAATAAAAAAACCACGAATAATCAACTGGGGTATCACCTCTTGCAGACAAAGAAAGCCATCCATCTTCCCATCCACGCGAACCCACGAGATTTGAAACACAGACATCATAGTCTCAGAACCTCACCTCTTCATCTGCTCTACCCAACACGTTCTTCCCCTCACAAACACACATCGACCCTTCAAAATGTCGGACGCATACGAGCGCGAACGTCAAAACAATTCTCGTCTCAATGAACTATCTGCAAAAGTGTCGGCATTGAGAGGCGTTACGGTGGATATCTATGACAATGCTAGAGCGCAAGATGTTATTGATAATACTGTATGTATTCCCTTCCCTTCTTATTCCATCCCGCCTCTCCTTGCCTTCTACCGCCCACATAGCCAACAAACAGATGTTAATGTATCCCACGAATAGTCCGATACCTTCTCTAGCATGTCTTCCTCCCTCAAAGGATCCGCTTCACGTCTAGGCCGTATGGCTTCCTCCGGAAATAAAGTCGCCATCTTGAAGCTCAGCGGGATGATCATTGGGTGCGTGATGGTTTTGTGGTTCTTATGGGGATTGTTTGTTTAGATGAGGGGCTGGAAGCTTTACATGATGGAAAAGAGGAAATTGAAGATCAAACCTGAAAGGCATGGGCAAGGTCAATTTTTGAATTTGTAGGATGCAGCGCAAGAATGGCAACGTATCTAACATTGAGCGTACAAACTCAATAGCGCTTGAAGAGGGATATGGGAACAAAGGGAAGGAAACAGAGACTGAGACAGAGCACGAAAGGAAATCATTGTATTATATGTATGGGCAAGACATCGGCAGATATATTAAACTGCGGCTGTGGCATCGTAACGGGCGTTATTGGTTGCATATACTATTACGGTTGAACGGATCAGGATACATGGCGATGTTTCGTAGCATGGTTGGTTTTGCTTTCAGGGGTGAAATGAATATACGCGAGAATTGTATAGAAACGCATCAAATTTAAATTGCGCCTTGAATTATCTGTCATTCATAGGATATCTATGTTCATGTCATTTTCCATCCATTCATCCATGTTCATATATCCCGCAAATTCTTGCCCTCATCTCCCACTTCACATCGTACTGTATCCTTCAACATCCTCACTCCCATACATTGGAGAATAAATCCTCACCACCCGATGAGAACCCTCCAGCAGGCTTCCCAGCTCCAGAAGTCGCATTGGAAGCCGGCGCAGGGGCCGCACTGCTCCAACCTCCAAAATCATCATCCGCTGTCACCTTTGGAGCACTAACCATTGTATTAAAACTACCTCCAGTACCTGGTACTATACTTTGACTCGATAGACCTCCCCAGCTACCAAAATCCCCAGCGTTAGTTTGAGATGGGGCAGCTTTTGTGAGCGATGGACTGGTTTTGGCAGAGCTGCCCCAAGCATCACTTGATCCCCATGCGTCAGTGTTGCCCCAAGCGCTGCTCATAGCAGGTGCTGCTGGCGGAGATTTTTGTGCAGTTGCCGTAGGGCTTTGAAGATTGAAGACTGATGATTGAGCAGGTGGCGAAGCGAGTGTTTGTTTAGGTGGTGAAACATTTTGTACAGCGGGAGTGGAGAAGTCGAATAGATCTCCTAACGAGGAACTTGCATTTGTGGACTGCGGAGCTGGTGATTGTCCTGGCGCCGAGTCAAAGGCTCCAAACCCACTCGTGGAGCTGAATGTACGAGACACTTGAGAAGGCGCAGCGGCTGCTTTTGGCTTTGAATCAAAGAATCCGCCGCCACTAAGGGGTGGAGAAGAAATTTGAGCTCCGGAACCTGTAGATCGGTGGCTGGAGAGGTTGCCCAAGTTGGAGAAAGCTGTGGTCTTAGCTGGAGGAGATGTTGCATTTGAAAAACTTAGGCTGCTGAATGCATCGTTCATACCTCCAAATGTAGAGCGCTGTGGCGATTGTTGGGGTGCCGCTTGCATACCACCAAAAGATCCAGATGATGCATGTGAAATTTGCGATGTCTGTTGTTGCGCTTGAGGACGAGGAGCGGATGCATAAAGCGATAGAATCGATTGTTTCAAATCAGGTCTGGACTGAGTACCCGGAGCAGGTGTTGTACTCGAGGGTCGGCTAGGAGGAGCAGCCTCAGTTCCGAAGAAGTCCAAGCCCAAGAGGGAATCCGCCGGTTTTGTTTGCTTTGGGGGAGCCGGCTCTGACTTTGGTGGAGGTCTCGCAGGTACCGGACCGGCAGTACTCGCTCTCGGAGGTGGTCCGAAATCATCACCAAAGAGATCCTGTTGAGGAGGGGCGCTGATCGGGGCAGGGGCTTGACTAGGTGGGGCGGTCCTTTGTGATGTTGATCTTTCAAGGTTGTGCTTCTCCTTGACAAGTCCAAGGGGTATATCATCATCTCCGTCGACGTCCAGAGTTGAGGGATCCGGAATTGGTCCATCCATAACCCATCTCTTCGAATCGTATTTCGTTCTGATAAAGTTCTCGATTTTGGCTTCGGATGGTACGTGGCCCGGGGCTAACTTTGCTTCCCAATATTTGTTTGCTCTGGCATTTCCCCATTTCAATACGCTTTGTACCTGTTCGTCTGTCCATGAATCCAAATCAACGGACTTCACTCGGCTGATGTGAGTTCCCATTCCACGATGTATTCCGGAACATCTTATGCACATGAAAACCCCCAAATTCCAGCTTGCCCATCTTGGATCTAACGGATTGGAGTGAATAATCAGCTCTTGACTTCATAGAATGAATGGAAGCATATGGATGGAACCTACGTTTATTCCTTTTGCAATCGCAACAGACTTTATTACACTCGAGTTTCAAGAGACTCTTTATCGTTTGGGTGTTCTGCGCAATACGCTCAGCCTGAGGATTTGCTGGCCTGCGCGACATCCTGGCGAAATTAAATTAAGTGAAGTGAAGTGTAATGAAAATGAAAGTGAAATTGAATATTCCTCTGGCAAAGAATTTCGATTACAATGATTGTATGTAATGATTTGGAAGAGTATGTCGCGTGTCCTGAGGAATGGAAGGAAATGTTTCTGAAAGGAGCTTTCTTGATTCCACACAAAGCGCAGCACAGGCCTGAACAGCTCGCTCGGCCTTGCGTCTCCACTAAACAAAGTCATTATGACCTTACCGAGAGAGGCCCAAGATTGGTACCGTACGGATTGAGACGATTTGGGCAATCGGACAATTGAATAATTGGATCGTCATATATTACGGTTATGGGTAATTATGTTACCTAGCAGCTATGCTAATCACTTTGTTCACTTGAAGAGAGTCGATTCACGCCCTCGGAAGGCTTCATTGGATACTAGGTAATGCCATTGATTCATACCTACAAATAACCGTACTTCGGTAGCTGGAGAGACCTTAGTACACCAGTGGGTGCACGGACTCACGGGACACTGAAGAGGGCAAGCACAATTTCACACCAAAAAGAGCTGTTTTGATAATTCAATTAAAATTCAAAATTTCAATAAATTTATTTGAAAATCAGAGATATAAATCTAAAGCATATATGTTTTATATAATCTCAGAATTGTATTGAAAAGCTCAACATTGATATTTTCATAAAAGAATATATAATCCCCTACCAAAATTTTTGGTAAAAAAAACGTACTATTCGTTTTTTGGGCTCAAATCTCAATTAATTTGGATCACTTTTAAATCAATCATTTTTTCATACTTAAAAAACTATATATCTCAATATCAAAAGAATTTGATAATAAACTGAATTTTAATCAAATTATTATGATCACTTATTTTGATATGAAATTGTGCTTTCCTGTCACATTATCCCGTGAGTCCGTGCACCCACTGGTGGTAATGCATCCTCGGTATGAAATCTGGTTCTTGGTTTATGGCTACTGTAGTCATCTACATGGCATACCTACTTGACACTTTCCCGTGCCGCACTCGACCTTGTGAACATCCATCTATCAGGTATGCAGAGCAATCGTTGGTCTCTCATCCTATCATCCAACAAGCATCTAGTGGGAGGAGGAGGGGGGGAAGAAGAAGGAGGAGGGGCTAAAACTCCTAGAATTATTGACAGATCAATCAGTCACTTCCAGGTTATTGATGCCTCGATCAGCTCGATCTTCTAGTGGTTTACATAGTTCACCGTCGGGAAATGGACTAGAAAGAATTTTCCCTCCCATAAACCAATCATGGTAAACTCGCGTCAAGTTTTCTATGAGACTAGAGTTTGTTTGTTGATGCATTGAAGAGCATCTTTGAGGGGGTTTCGAAGATATATATAATATAACATTAACCGTTTGTATATTGGATATCCAATATCATATTGACGA